CCGTAACTCCTCCGTGATGGTCTGCTGATGGTGCCTCCCCTTCTAAGCTCACAATGTGCACCAAAAACTATCCCCTACTGGCTGCAAACATTCCTTTGCTGATGGTGTTGCCTCACCACCTGCCTTCTCAAGGAATACATTGTGCAGTTCTATAGCCTTGGCTTGAATTCATGCAAGGTCGACAGAAGCATTTTTCTGAATCATGTCCACTGTCAACAAGCTTAATGCTCTTTCCATTTTCACCATTTGTCTTTTACTACACATGCTACTTTTTCATTTTTTGGATCACCTAGTGATACGCTTGCATGAATTTCTTTCACTTTAGACTTGATTGAACATACTGTTGAACTCATTCACTCTTTACAGCCTCCCAACTTCAACTCCACTTAAACCACTGTCCAACTTAACTAAGATTTCCATCTTTTGCACTAATGTCATCATTTTTTAAAAATCTTTTTGGTGATCCAGGACTTCGGAAGAGACCTGTTGATTTTTGTTTTGGCCTTTTTAATGATGAATTAACATGTTAAAAAGCTTGACTTATCGAATGGATCTTTCATATTGTTCCTGCAAATTGGGGCCAAACTTGTGACCAATCAAATGGACCTTGCCAGTTATGCATTCTAACTCCGTGGAGGCTTCCCACTCTTTGAGATTGACTCATGATATATTAAGAGGACCTTGCGAGTGTGCAGATCTCCTTGCAGTCAGGATGCTGTACAGAGTGAATGAGTCAACAGTATGTTCAATCAAGTCTAAAGTGAAAGAAATTCATGCAAGCGTACCACTAGGTGATCCAAAAAATGAAAAAGTACCATTTGCAGTAAAAGACAAATGATGAAAATGAAAAGAGCATGAAGCTTGTTGACAGTGGACATGACTCAGAAAAATGCTTCTGTCGACCTTGCATGAATAGGAACTCAGCAGATAATGAGGAAATGTTTGGACCAAAGTGGTAATGAGGTCTGGAGATGCAAGGCATTTTCCAATGCTTTGCTCATGATTAAGAGTGGACCGATGATATGGTAATTCATCAAGTTGGATTTGTACGGCTTTTTATGGACTGGGCATACCAGAGCCACTTTCCACATTGTCTGGAAGCGGCACAGGAACGAGGGATGCATTGAGCTCTGGGACAATTTTTCAATACTACAGGATGTTGTCAAGTCCCTAGACTTTTATAAAATTAAGGGCCTTCAGCCAACTCTTGACCTTGTGGAGTGAATCAAATTGGCTGTAAAGTGGTACCTGTGATGCTGAACACATAGGGAGAAGAGGAGAATAATTATCCACTCAGCACTTCTGGCTGAGGATGGTTGTCTCTCTATGTGAAGTCCCGGTGACCTTCTTTATATAGCAGTATTGTATAAACTGCAAGATGTTGCTAATATCTCCAGCAGTACCCTGGAATGCGCTAAGCTAAATTCAGAATCACAATCAGCTTGACAGCCACAGGCAAGATGCTACTTGCCCCGTTCTGCAGTTAGATGACCAATTTCAGTTGTAACCTCATTTGTTAAGTGGAGTGATCTAAAGCATTGGTCACTGTGGAATTTCAGGACCTTCAAGACCCTCTTCAATTATGAATTTTGCTGACTCCTTCCCTCCTCCTCAATCAGCTTGCCTTGCTCTGCATAACCTCTTTCATTCTCTCAGCCTTACTAAATTTCAAGAGAAAAGCCTACAGGCCACTTCTGTTTGGGACATCTGGCTTCTGCATTACCCTTTAACTTCAGTGCCAAACAGGACACACTCTACAGAGTACTAGAGAAAAGTTCCAAAAATACACAACAGTGCACTAAAAGCCATATGAAAAGATCCAGTAACTAGGATGAGATCCAAAACCTGATACAAGAAACAAAGGATATTGGCCAATGGGTGCTTTTGTGACTGCGTTTCCAAAAGTGGTTCTGCAAGGTTTAGTCTGAGGTCTCTTGCTTTTTCTAATGGATATCAAACATTGAGCCTTGTACATAACAAGGATGATTAAAAAGTTTGTAGATGACACAAAGAGTAGTTGAGTGGTTGATAATGAAGGAGGAGTAGGCTATAAGAAGATATCAATGGACTAGTCAGATAGGCAAAACTATAGCAATAGAGTTCAATCCAGAGAAGTAAGAGTACAAGTGGACAAGGCTAACAAGTCAAGGAAATAGACAGGATACTGAAAAAATGTAGAGGAATTGAAGGAGACCTTAAATTGCATGCCCACAGATTCCTGAAGGATGTTGGACAAGGAAGTAGGATGGTCAAGGAGGCACACTTGCCTTTATTTGTCCAAGGCACAGCATCTAAGAGAATAGAGGTTTTGTTCAAACAGTATTAAACACCAGTGAAGCAACAGCTGGAATACTGTGTCTAGTTCTGTTCACCGCACAATAGCAAAGATGTGATCGCACTAGAGGGCACAGAGGAGATTTATGAGGATGTTGCCTGAACTGGAGAACTTCAGTTTTCAGTAAAGATTAAAGATGCTAGAGTTGCTTTTATTAGAACAAAGGAGGCTGAGGAAATACCTAACCATGAGAGGTCTAAATAGAGTTAAAAGAAAAGCCTTATTTCTCTTAATACCTACTGACACATTAGCATACTGATCCACAAATTACAAAATTTACTAACTTTAATCTTAAACTTACCATGCTAGCAATTGAACTCACGGCCCCTAAGTTTTAAGTTCAGCAGAATAACCATTATACTATCATACCTGAGAGAGGCATTTGTTAAATTTTAAATTGTAGCTTACATTTTTTAAGTTAACAGAAGTTAAACTCACAAAGATGTTATGTGTAGGGGCAGCTATTTGGACCATCATGCCTGCACCAGCTGTCTCCGTATTTGGATTTTGTGCCAAACTCTTTCCATTCTACTCCTCATTTTTTTTCTATTTAAATAGTCACTTAATTGTCCTCTTGAAGCCTCAGCTAAACCTGCCTCTACTGCACTTCCAGGCAATGGATTCCACATCCTAAGTACTCACTGTATGAAAAAGTATTTTCTCACATTGCATTTGCTTCTTTTGCTAAATGATCTAAAAACTGTGTTCTTTGACTCTCGATCCTTTTACAAATGGTAACGGTTACCCCTCATGGATTTTTAAAACTTCCATCAAATCTCTTTCAAATTTCTGCCTCTGAAAGGAAAGCAGTCCCAACTTCTCTAGTTTATCATTATAACTGCAGTTTCTCATCCCCAGAATGATTCTTGCAAATGACTTGCGGACTCTTTCCAATGCATTCAGATCCTTTCTAAAGCTTAGCACTCAGAACTGAAAGAATACAGTCAGCAGTTAGGGAATAGAGTTTGGAGTGTGCACTGAAAATAATGGCTTCAGCCTTGCTAATATTAATTAGAGGAAATTTCTGCTCCTCCAGCACAGGACATCAGATAAACAACCTAATAAGTTAGCAACAGGGGAAGAGTTGAAATGGATGGTGAGGTAAAGTCAGATGTCATCAGTGTACATGTGCAAACCAATGTTGGCTTCAGATATCGCGCCAAGGAACAACATAGAGATCAGAAATAGGAGGTCAAGGATTAATCATTAAGGGACACTAGAGATAACAGTACAGGACTAGAAAGTGAAGACGTGCCATATGATTCTCTAGCTACAATTACATATATAACAGGAGTAACACAAGAGCAAAGCCACATGGCTGCACTACTGTGTTGAAAGAGGATGTTAAGTTCATCCTTGTCAAAGCCTGCAAATAAATTGTGAAGAATGAAGAAAACAAATCTACCTTGCCACAGTCAGTATCAGTTATGTAGGATGTCTTTTGTGACATCTGCAGGCAGGGGTAGAAAGATGACTGGAGGAATTCAACAATGCAGTTCCGGGATTGATGGGGGACTGATTTGGCAGGGGGTAACTATTCAGCCAATGACTTAAAAAAGGAGCAATTGGAGAATGGTAGTTTGCAAGGGTGGAGAGCTCAGGGTGGTTTTCTTGTGGAGAGCATATGAACATACAAACAAGAGTAGGCCACTTGGCCCTTCGAGCCTGCTTCAACTTTCAATAAGATCTCTGCTGATTGGAATTCAACCTTAACTCTACATTCCTGCATATGCCTGATCATTTTTCATCCCCTTGGTAACCTATCTACCACTCCTTAAAAATATTTGAAGGTTCTGCATCTGCTGTCTTTTGAGGAAGGGAATTCCAAAGACTCTCAACCCTCAGAGAAAAATTAATGACTAAACTGTTTTCCTCAACTCTGTTTTAAATGTGCGATTCCTTATTTTGAAACGGTGACTCGGAGTTCTAGATGCTCCCACAACAGGAAACATCTTTTCCACATTCACTGATCAAGTTCCCTTTGTATCTTTCAATTAAGTCACCTCTAACTCTTCTGCACTTCAGAGGACACAGCCCTTGCCTGTTTAGTCTTTCCTCAAAGGCAACCCACTCATTCCGTGTAATCGCCTAGTAAACCTTCTCTGAACTGCTTCTAACACATTAACATCCTGATATGTTGTAATAACAGCAAATTTAACGGGGAGACACAACACCTGAAGAGAGTAAGAACCAAGGGCAGTCACAGATTTCAGAAGGGGAACTTGGGTGAAAATACAGAAATGCTGGAGAAACTCAGTGGGCCTGGTAGCACCCATGATTAAAGATAGAGAGATAACATTTCAAGTCAAATGACTCTTCTTCAAAACTCCAGTTTTCCTTCACTAAAGGACATTAGCGATCCAAATTGGTTTTTAATAGCATCGACGGTTGTCTCACAGTTACTTATTATTGGAGCTAGTGTTTTTTTTTTAAAAACAGTCCAGGTTTATTAACTATGGGTGGAATATGAACCCATGTCCCCACAGCATTAGCCTGGATCACTAGATTACTAGCCTAGTATGCCACCATATCAGTCCTTAAGTTGACATCATGTTCAGACAGCCTACTCCTGCTCCTAGTTCTTATGTTCTTATGTACTTATGGATTGTACTTGCTAACTTGCTAATTGTTAATAAAAATGCGATTGAAACCTGAGGAAGAATACCTGTCAGTCAAAAAGGCACAGATGAGGTCTTTGGCGTGCTTTGAAATTTCAACATCATCTGGAAAATTGAGCGAATTTTTGTGATCCATGATTTTACTGTACGTCCCCACAAGGGAATCTGCATAAAATGGAGTATCACCTGGCAAAAAAAATGTACAGGAGAATTCAGGTGCAATACATCTGGATAAGAATCAACTTTTCTCTGCAAAAACAAAAATCAGAAATATGTTGAAATCCTCATCATATACATAAATAACATAAATGTCCCAGTTTCAGAAATTTTTTATTAAAAATTTTTCAAGTCAGATTTTAAGTCAAAGTTACAATTATAAAATAAGGCATGACAAGTATAACAATGACAGCGGAAAACTAATGTGTTGATTGACAAATTGGTAGCTGGGATTAACACACAAGATCAATCTAGCCTTTTCTTATATTTTGATGAGAAGTATGCTGGACAAGGCTTCCCACATAGCCTGTCTTGATTAATGTTGTATTTCAGAGAGCAAAGTTCCATTAAGAAGTTTGGTTTACAAAATGAAAATGCAGAAAATGAACAGCACAAGTGAACGGCCCCAAGTCTTCTTTTGAGACACTGAATGGTGCTGTATATTTTCAAAATATTTACCTTTCATTTCATGTTTTGAGCAGCTGCAATCCCCTCTCCCCAAGAAGAATGGATAGGGACTATGCAATATGAATGAAACTAATGAATATGTACCAAAAGTATCAGCAAAAAACAAAAACAAAATGGGATGGGATGGGATGGATTATGAGTAAAGTCTATTGATATAAACAAGCATTAGAGAAGGAAACACAGCAACTACTTAATGAAAACAAAACATAACATAATTCACAGCATGAATGAACATAGGAACTGGTGTAGCTATTCAGCCTCTTGAAAACACAAGACCCTAAGAACTAGGAGCAGGAGTAGACCATCCAACCCCTCAAGCCTGCCCCGCCAATCAATAAGATCATGGCTGATCTTTTCGAGACTCAGCTCCACTTACCCGCCCGCTCACCATAACCCTTAATTCCTTTACTTGTCAAAAATTTATCTAGCCTTGCCTTAAACACATTCAGTGAGGTGGCTTCAACCGCTTCACTGGGCAGGGAATTCCACAGATTCACAACCATTTGGGTGAAGAAGTTTCTCCTGACCTCAGTCCTACCTCTGCTTCTCTTTATTTTGAGGCTATGCCCCCGAGTCCTAGCTTCACCTGCTAGTAGAAACAACCTCCCTGCCTCCACCTTATCTATTCCTTTCATAATCTTATATGTTTCTGTAAGATCTCCCCTCATTCTTCTGAATTCCAATGAGTATAACCCCAGTCTGCTCAGTCTCTCCTCATAATCCAACCCTCTCAACTCTGGAATCAACCGAGTGAATCTCCTCTGTACCCCATCCTGTGCTAGTATATCCCTTCTCAAGTAAGGAGACCAAAACTGCACACAGTACTCCAGGTGTGGCCTCACCAGGACCCTGTACAGCTGCAGCATAGCCTCCCTGTTTTTAAACTCCATCCCTCGAGCAATGACAGACAAAATTCCATTTGCCTTTTTAATTACCTGCTGCACCTGCAATCCTACTTTTAGTGATTCACGCACAAGGACACCCAAGTCCCTCTGCACAGCAGCGTGCTGCAATTTTTTACCATTTAAAACATAGTCCATTTTGCTGTTATTCCTATCAAAATGGATGACCTCACACTTATCAACATTGTACTCCATCTGCCAGACCTTTGCCCAATCACTTAGACTATCTATATCCCTCTGTAGACTTTCAGTGTCTTCTGCACACTTTGCTCCACTACACATCTTAGTGTCATCTGCAAATTTTGACACACCACACTTAGTCCCCAACTCCAAATCATCTCTGTAAATTGTAAACAATTGTGGTCCCAACACTGATCCCTGAGGCACATCACTAGCCACTGACCACCAAACAGAAAAACACCCATTTGCCCCTACTCTTTGCTTTCTACTAGTCAACCAATTCTTTATCCATGCCATTACATTACCTGTAATATCGTGCAACTTTATCTTAGGTAGCAGCCTTTGGTGTGGCACCTTGTCAAATGCCTTCTGGAAATCCAGATACACTACATCCACAGGTTCCCCATTGTCCACCATGCAAGTAATGTCCTCAAAGAATTCCACCAATTTAGTTAAACATGACCTACCCTTCATGAACCCATGCTGGGTGATCCCAATGGGACAATTTATATCCAGATGTCTTGCTATTTCTTCTTTAATGATAGATTCAAGCATTTTCCCCACTACCAAAGTTAAGCTAACCGGCCTATAGTTACCTGCTTTTTATCTACTTCCTTTTTTAAACAGTGGCGTCACATTGACTGTTTTCCAATCTGCGGGAACCACCCCAGAGTCCAGGAATTTTGGTACATAATTACTAGTTCATTCCGCCAGCACCTCTTTTAGTACCCTGGGATGCATTTCATCAGGGCCAGGAGACTTGTCTACCTTTAGCCCCATTAGCTTGCCTAGCACTGCCTCCTTAGTGATAATGATAGGTTCTAGGTCCTCACCTGCTATAACCTTCTTGCCATTAGTTTTCGGCATGTTATTTGTGTCTTCCACTGTGAAGACCAAGACAAAATAACTGTTTAATGCCTCGGCTATTTCCTCATTGCCAATTATTAAATTGGCCTTCTCATCTTCTAAAGGACCAATGCTTACCTTCGCCACACTTTAACGATTTACATATTTATAAAAACTTTTGCTGCCTGTTTTTATATTTTGAGCTAGCTTACTTTCACAATCTATCTTACTTTTCTTTATAACTTTTTTTGTGGCTTTCTGTTGGCCTTTAAAGTTTTCCCAGTCTACTAGCTTCCCACTAATCTTTGCTTTTCTGTATGTTTTTATTTTAATCTGATACTTTCCTTTATTTTCGGAGACATCCACGGCTGACTATTTCTTTTCCTACAGTTCTTATCACTGGAATATACTTCTGTTGAACACTGCGAAAAATCATTTGAAAGTCCTCCACTGTTCCTCAATTGTCCCATCATAAAGTTTTCGCTCCCATTTTACCTTACCTAACGCCTCCCTCATCGCATCATAGTCTCCTTTGTTTAAGCACAGGACATTGGTACTGGATTTAATCTTCTCACGCTCCATCTGTATTTTAAATTCGACCATACTGTGATTGCTCCTTCGAAGAGGATCCCTAACTGTGAGGTCATTTATTATTTCTGTCTCATTACACAGGACTTGAGCCTGCTGCACCATTCAATGAGATCATGGCTGATCTGCAGCCTAGCTCCATATGCCTGACTTTGGCCCATTTCCCCCATTACCCTTGCTTAACAAAAACAAACTGCATATCAGATATAAAATTAGTAACAACAGAGCGCTTAGAGAAGAAACTAGATAGGTACAAGATAGATTTATAATAGAGTTAGTATCTCTCAACTGGGCATGACAGGGTGCTGTGATCCACCAGTGGTAACAAAATTGAATTTCACCACATCTGTAACCTCAGGGCCCAGAATTTTCTTACTCCTCCATTATCAGCAAAGGTAGATCACCAAAACAAAACACAGTGGATGCTGGGAATCTGAAATTAAAACAGGAAATGAAGGAAAAATTCAGTAGATCTGGCAGCACCTATGGAAAAGCAGAGGTGACTGAAACAAAGGTCCAGGTCCAACAATGTTGGAGTTTGGTTACATCAATGAGTAGGCATTAGCTTAGTGTGCAAGCAAAGGCAATGCCAGATATCTCACTGAATCAGTGCTCAACATAGTGCAGAGAAGCTAAGACCACAAATTAGTCTTCTCATTTTATTTCCCCAAAATTTGCTGAGCACTTCCCAACCCCCATCTTGAGTGAGAAAAGAATGTAGCTCCCTTTAATGGAAAAAGGCTCAATAAACCTGATATAGAATAAAGCATGCCACTTAATCAGGAAAACACTCATGGTGGATGAGGACCTAATCGTGCCTTATAAGTCAAAGTGAATCAATGATTCACGACATCAATTAGACTACCATGTCTTTTTAACAAGAGGCTAAGCAGTGAAGTTGCAATAGCTTTCACATAAACATGAAGTAAGTGAGCAGTCTGTGAGAAGAATAATGTGATCTCCAAGAAAGTTAAAAAGGTTTCCTCTGTGAAGTGATGTGAAGGTTTGCCTTTGCATAGCAACCCATTCTCTCCAGGCAAAGCCAGAACCTCATACGCGACAGGTGTTATTCCATCCAGACTGCTGCCTGTCACATTTTGGAAGCCAGAGTATACCCATGGGCTGTCAGATGGTCACCTACTAGAGGCTGTTCAATGTTTTTTTCATCATCCCATCTGCCCTGTAACTGAAATAGCAACATTTAGGTGCCTTCAGAGTCAAAACACCTTGTGCTTGAACCCAAGCCCAACCCTAAACCATTTTCCGCTCCCCACCCATATCACGCAAAACCTTCTCAACATCAAGAACAAACAGGCAAAATTGTGATGCCAAGGATAAGTAAGAGTTAGGGGAAAACACTGAAGCTGAAGAGTGACATATATTAAAGCACATGAAGGACCAGATAGCAAAGAGCACGTACTAAACTCTGAAAAGGGTTAAAAAAAGAAAAAGAAGGTCTAAAATTAAAACATTAGGGAATAGAAAAAGAAACTATATCCTACATCGACCTAAGTAACAAATGGAAGACTGAAATAGAAATAGAGCCATTAAGGGAATAAGCAAGATGAACTCTCTGTATTCACATACAAACTGTCAATTTATGAAGGAATAGCAGCGAAGAACTTTCAATATAAATCTACTTCCTACCAACAAAAGCAGAGATACAAATCTAAGCAGCTTTGGAGCAACAGTAGGAACAATTAAAAAAAGGTAAAACAAAGAACTGTGGATGCTGGAAAACTGAAATAGAAATTGTTGGAGAACTTCAGCAGGTCTGGCAGGATCTGTGGAGAGAAAGCAGAGTTTACCAATTCTGTCAGGGGTCACTGGACTCAAAACATTAAATCTACTTTCTCTCTACAGATGCTACCAGACCTGTTGAGGTTCTCCAACAATTTTTGTTGTTATAATAGTAAGAAAGATGTTTTCTATCACTACACTGAGTATAATAGATTGCTAAAGGGAAGGTAACATTTAACTAAACATGCTCATTCTGAGGCAACAAAAGAACACCGTAATGAATGTGATATACATGCACTGTCAGAAGGTCTTCAATAAAGGTAGCTCATAAGAAGCTCATGAGACAAAGCTCAGCAAAAATAAGAGTCAGCAGCAAGGTGGAAGAACATCTGGTAAGATGTATCCAGAACAGACTACAAGCAACAACATTTGAGGAAACTTCTGATACAGACAGAAAGTGGTATAAATTGATCCAATGAGATTCAGGATGAGACAGTTGCTTTTGATCACATATAAATAATTTGGACTCAGAAATTGGAGGTATGTAATTAATATGAGGAACTGCAAAAACATACATACTTGAGGAGTAGCCACATTAATGGCAATTTAATTCAGTATTGAAAATAAGAAACTAAATGGGTTGGAGGAGCAGACAAATCAGGGAACCTTTTAAAAATGATTTACTTTTCAACAGCATGTGAACATGTCACTCACCAGGCCAGCATTTGTTGCTCATCCCTAATTGCTCTTAAGAAGGTGGTGAGTGGGTTACCTTTTGAATTGCTGCAATCCATGAGCTGCAGTCCACAGCGCATTAGAGCAGAATTCAAGGATGTTGCCTCAACAAAAGTGAAGGAACAGCAATATAGTTTCAACTCAGGATGGAATGGCTTGGAGGAAAATTTGCAGGCAATAATATTTCCATGTATTTGCTGCCCTTCTCCTTCACGGTGGTAGAAGTTGCAGCCTGGAAGGTGCATGCCACAAGAGCTTGGTGATGCATCATGTAGATGCACTTGGTCATCGGTGCACCATTAGTGGAAGGAGTGAGTTTTTAAAGTTAGCAGATAGGGTACCAATCAAGTGGACTACTTTGTCCATGTTTAGGACTCACATTGCAACTCTCTCCTTCCTATCACCACCTCAAGTGGGACTGTCCACCTGGTAGGACAGAACATTTTCACAACGGTGATTGGTGGTGTCAGGGATCCTTAACCCAATAAGCATGTCAAGCTGTTGCTTAACCAGTCTGTGAGACAGCTCTCCCAATTTTGAAATAAGGACCTGATGTTAGTAATGAGGACTTCACAAGGCTGACGGGGTTGAGTGTATTATTGTAATTTCCAATACCTAGGGTGACATGGTCCAGTTTCATTGCTTTTTGACTCCATTATGGTTTTAAATAATGGAGTGGTATTCTTGGCCATTTCAGAGTCAATCATGTTGCTGAGAGTTTGGAGTCTCACAATGGTCTCAACTATTAAGACTAGCTTAATTCCAGATTCATTGAATTTAAATTTCAAAAGCTGCCATGATGTGTTTTCCACTCCCATCTCCACAGCATCAGCCTCGGCCTCCAGATCACTAGCCCAGTGGTATTATTACCATGACACCATCATATAAATTGTAGGTAGCATGACAAGTTTGCAAGATCATAAAACGTATAAACGGAGTTCAAATCATTCGGGTACAAATAGAGTAGATAGCAAAGAATGTTCCCTTCAGCAGTGAGGCCAAGAAACAGAAGGCACCAATTTAAGGTGACTAGCAATAAAAGCATAGAAGGCAACATAACAAGTTTTTATGCAGCAAATGGTTAGGAATTGGATTTCGTTATTTGACTGAATGGTGAAGACAGATTTAATCATGCCTTTCAATAAGCAATTGGATAAGCAACTGACGAGGCAAAATGCAGAACGACGGGAAAGGACAGGGAGGTAGGATCAGCAGAGTTCCACTCGCAAAGAGATAACACAAACATGACAGACTGATTGGCCGTCTTCTTTCTTCTAACCATTCTAGGATTTATGGATGAACATAAAAGCTAGGAGGTAATGTTAAATTTATACAGGATGTCAATTAACCCACACTTGACGTACAATGTCCAACGTGAGTCCCCATACCAAGAACACAGTAAAGCACCTGAACAAAAAACAGAAATTGCTGGAAAAGCTCAGTAGGTCTGGCAGCATCTGTGGAGATAAAATCAGAGTTAACATTTTGGGTCGAATGACCCTTCCTCAGAACTTTACTCAGGCTTTTCCAGCAATTTTTGTTTTTGTTTCTGATTTACAGCAGCCACAGTTCTTTCGGTTTTTATTTTGTAAGGCACTTGAAACGTGCTAAGAATAGTAACAAGGATGTTATCAGAATTGCGAGAATGCAAATATTAAGATACATAAAGAAACCCAGAGATTTATTTTGTGAAAGAGTAACCTAATTAACAGAATCAAAATCAGAAATTGCTGGAAAAAGTCAGCAGGTTTGGCAGCATCCGTGAACAGAAAGCAGAAATAACATCGTCTTCAGGAAGGGTCAATGGACATGAAACATTAACTCTGCTTTCTTCTAACAGATGCTGCAAGACTTGCTGACTTTTTCCAGCAATTTCTGATTTTGTTTCTGATATCCAACATCTCTAGTTCTTTGGTTTTTAAACTAATAAATAGGCTTGAAAATTAAGCAGATTTGATTTGGATGCTCATACATACAAGTCATTAACAATTTGTGTACCAACAAAAAGAATAAAGTTAATAAAATGTTGCCCTTGATCAAAAGGGGGCTGAAGACAAGTTCATCAAAATGATTCATGCTTAACAGGTGTAAAGCTATGAGGAAAAATTGCAACGCAATAACTCACCAGGTCCCCTTTAACTGTAATTTTCAATCCCCTAGCCTGAACCAATTAGCTGGAGTAGAAGCATAGAGACAACAGACCTGCAAATTCTTCAATTCACGCAACACATTGACTTGGAAATTGATTGCCCTTTTCCCTCACTATCATAGGGTCCAAATCCCAGAACAACCTCCTAAAAGTAGTCTGGTGTGCCTGCACCACATTCACTGCAGTCGTTCAAGAAGGCGGCTTACTGCTATCTTCAAGGGCAATTTGTATTATCTTGAATTAACAGGATGCAGAGTGATGTAATTAAAGTGAACTAAATAATGCAGTCACATAATAAAGATCCAGATCAAGAATGAAAGACCCTTGCATTAGAGGTGGGCAATCTGGCAAAGAGGTCAGGAAGCACCTATTCCCCATGAAACACAGAAATCAGGAACATTTCCCTGAAAATCTGCTGAGTCAATTGAAACTTTCAAGATTGACAGCAGTAAGATTTTCATTATCCAAATGTATCAATGGATACGGATCAATCTGTAGGGCAAATCTGCTCGAATCTGATTAGTTGTACCGATGCAAATGTACTCATGTTGTTAAGACAGTTTCTTTGTGCCCACCCTGCTTCCACCTGGATGAATGCAGGACAAGTTGACACAAATGTAAGCCAGCCTTTAACAAATCAAATATAGTTTTGGAGTTTTTAGATATAGTGATGAGCACCTGTAATGTGCTATCACATGAAATGACTGAAGCAGATGGTAACAATATATTTATGCAGAAGAAGAAGAATGAAAGAGAATGATAGGGGCAGGAGGAAACAGATCAAGAACGAGGTATGAAGAATAATAGTTACTATAGAGCAGTTCGACCAAATGGCTCCACCCGAGCAGTACATTTTATATACTTGAAGTAGCATTCTATCTCTTGTTGCTAGATCCTGTTTATCCCCCAGAATTATTAAGCAACTTTATGTAAAGGTTTCTGTTGCAGTACCCAACTGAGATTGATGAATGTGAAAAATATCAAATACAAAAAAACTCTGCAATCACATAAAATTCATGCGAATCAGGTCAACAAAATATTGCAAACTTTATTTAATTATTTAATTGAAGCAACTGCACCATATTCAAAGCTTATCTGCAGACAACACTAATTTGTTATCAAAAAATGCCATTATCAGCCAATACCACCTATGTTTAGGTTTACATTCATTTTTTAATAAATTAGTACGGGTTTCTAAACTTACCAACTAGCATTTCATACAGGAAAACTCCCACAGACCACCAGTCGCACTCCCGGCCATAATAACCATCCCCTCCCTGTGATTTTAGTACCTCAGGAGAGATGTAATCAGGAGTTCCAACTGCAGTGTCACATCGAACCATTCCAGTCTGTGTATTTAGACGATGGCAATGAGAAAAAGAAAATTTTTTACAAAATGCAATCAAAATACAAAGTGTGCAGTTTTAAAATCATGTTCTGAAGTTAGTCTTTATGCACACTGTCATCATGGTAACGTATTTTATAAGACCCAAATATTCTGCAGTTTCTAAAATATGCACATTTTAGTGAACGTGCCTTGATTTATCAAAACATAGCCTGAAAGAAATTGGAAGCTGACATATGGCAAACAATACATAATTTTACAATAGACTGTTGTCAAATTAACAAATCAAAAACAATTTTTGAACAAACTTGTGCCATGTGGATTATCGTGTGCACTTGTCACGTTCTCCTCCAGCAAAATTGCATGCATTGGGCAGTCTGCAACGAGAACTTATTTGTGCATAACTGCAAGAGTCTTTTGGCTTGCAAACAAAAGAGGGTGCCAAAAGAAACGATTCCACATTGGGGTGGGGGTATCTCCTTTCGATATTCAAAGACTGAAATCAAAGTGTGCACCAATAAATAAAAAGTCTGGATTTAAAATAAAAAAATCTATAACTAATTTCAAAAAAAAACAATAAATATTCATTTAACATGAAATGATATGCAATAGAGTTCTTGCTTTGATACTGAAAGCCAACCATCTCAGAGTTTAATTCAATGATGATAGGGGATGGGTAAGTCAGGGCTAGTTTGTGTTGCAGAGTGAGGCCAATAGCACAGGTTACATTGCTGACCTTACTATAAAGGTTCCCTCACCTGAGGTGTGGTGACCCTCTAGTTAAAGCACCACTAGTCATCTCTCTCTCATGAGAGAGCAGTTTTATGGTCCAATAGCACTGTAATGACTTTACTTACATTAATTTATTACAACATCGCTCAAAGTCAAGGGGAAAATAACAAAATTATGCAATAAAAATACTCAAAATGCTTCAATTGTTTCTCCAAAATGACTTCTTGGTAACTGAAAATTTTGGTTACATTGCCAATTAAGATGATTACATGAGAACAAATGACAGATCATAATAAAAATACAAAAGGATGCCATTTGTTTCAATTTAAAATTGGGAGAAAGTTGGCACAGATGGAAACAAAATTAAAATTGAGATTTCAGGTGCAAGTGAAGTTAGCAGGTGACCTTTAATGAATAATAATGTGGTCACATTTTAAAATGATCAAAAGATGTGGCAGTTTACATTATTTACATTGAGACACAGAACTATGCTTTTATATATAATTACCAAAATGTGGACATAGTAGAAAACCATTCTGATTAGTAAATCATAAAATTAGCACAAGTTCATCCAACAGAAATCGTCCCTGCACAATGGAACAATTTTTTTTTAAAAACCTCCTTGTTAGTTTCAATGATTAAGCATTTTTTTGATACTATTTCATTGCATCTTAACTTACCGAATCCATTTTCATACAAGTACCAAAATCTGCCAACTTTAAATGTCCGAATTTGTCTAATAGCATATTATCAGGCTTAACATCTCTGTGTATAAAACCCATTGAGTGAATGCCATCCAAGGCGAGCACGACTTCAGCAGTGTAGAACTTGGCCCATCTTTCAGGCACATCATAATTGCTCATGAGGTTTACAAGGTCACCACCAGGCATATACTCCATTACCATATAGAGATATCTGTCATCTTGAAAGGCATAAAATAGCTGTAAGAAAAATAGCAAATGTTACAACAACGTTTTTCTTAATAATAGAAAATTATTTGTGAACATCCTGTTCAACATCAGTACTACTAAACAACTGTATGAACAACTATTTTTAGACTATGGCTCAGCACACTCCATAATACACATCCACCCCCTGCCTTCATGAGGAAATCAGATATCATCTCTTAATTATACTAAATACCCTTTAAATTTCTATTCAGAAATTATAAAATTAGCTTCTAAATACAAGTAAATACACAAGTAAAACCTTACAGTCCATACTAAACATTTGAATTGTTCAACTGTTTAAATCAGCAAAATTGCATCAATTATTTTTACGACTATTGTGAACCACAAAGTCATCATATTCATCCCATTACAATGTTCAGACATTTCTTGCAGAAATAGCTATTTAGTGAGTAGTCACATCCCATAAAGGCATAATCTCCTTGTATACAATCTCTAAGTGAAATATAAGTTATTAAAGCACTCAAGCTTGCCTTGAAGTATGAAACAGTAAATTTGAATTTACAATGGATATTTGCAGTATTTAATGGTCTGAAAAGTCAGGATTTATTTGAACAATGTTAAATAAATTTGTTCAGATTGTGCAACGAAAGTAGAAGGCAAATCGCTACAACATAAGCAGTGGGGCCTTCATAGCCTTATAGAGCAACAATGGATGAAGGACTTTCTTAGAAAACTGAATGAACCCATACAATACTCAATTTTATACCTGTTTTATTTGATACATCACATATCATTTAGCTGACTTAAAAGTTTGTGCAAAGTGCACCGTTGCCAGTAAAGAAAGGAAAAGCAAAAGACTGCCTCATTACATATAAGTTTTATCAACAGATACATCATACAACGCATCAATTATCGATATGTTATTAGATCTATACTAAATTAATGTAAACTGAAATACCTACAAATACAAAACCTTTTCTACAACTAGTTGCATGCATGGAGCAGACGCCAGACCAGGAATTATAAAAATGAAGAAGCTTTAATACTGTAGAAGATAAAATCACATAAACAGTAACTTTTCTAGTTCTTTGCAAGAGCAGTATTGTCCAGTATAAGTTATTTTTATGACTTTTTTTAAGAAATGCAAATGCAGATGTATTTCTGAATATGAGGTGAAAATAGAGAGTTTTTTTGTTGGGCGGAACAAATGTACTCTTAATTGGCACATTTGTTTGATTAAAAAAAAACTTTTACACAAAAAGCAGACTCAGAATGATTTTCATTGTTGTCAGCACGCTACTTTCTTGGTCACTAAATAGTGGAAAAACCTTTGTTTAGCAAACATACACTTGAACTAACTTTCCCTGAATTGCGCAAGTGTACACAAGATGCCTTTTACAGAATTCTTGTGGATTTAAGGGCATTACCACAGCTGCAGCTCAGTCAGCAATTTCTATTGGATAACATCTATTGGACAGTGGTGGGTTTTAAAAGGAAGTCTGAAGGGAGGAGAGGCACAGACAGATGTACATTTAGGAATGAAATATGTTAAGCCATGTGATTGTTGAGTTTTAAGCCCAGCCAACAATGGGGTGAAGGAAAAATTGGGCACAAGATAGGCTAGAGTTGGAGGGTTGGAAAATCAGAATCTGTTTTCTGTTTCCAGACTATATTTTATTTCGTTTTTAGGCTTGTTACATATGATCCTCAAGAACCTCAGTCTTGTTCAGATAACACAAGTGGAGAGTTGTGGGGAATTTTCAAGCAGAGCGGCACAAAAACCTCAATTGTGAAAAATATCATCCACAATATTATTACTACTGTGATTAATTATGACAGAAGACAATCACAAAGTACTCTCAATAGATTTAACAACATGCAATTTAAATATGTTTCAAAATAATTTTACCTGGACAACCCAGGAACTGTTTGCAAAGGCCATGATATCTCTTTCCTCCCAAAAAAATGCTGAATCAGATCGCTTGATCATTTCAAACTTGCTCAAAAGTTTCATTGCATATACTTTTTGTGATGCTTTATGTCGAACCTATTGGGAAAGTATAATTTATTATTCTGGATCCACATATCTTTAAATGCAAATTTGCACATCATGTGTTACTTGCAAATACTTTGATTTTTCATTGCCCAGTTGCATGGGACTGTACATCTGTTGAATTTTTATATATCTAATCACTACCAACGAGTCACCTATGATAGCTTCTCTTCCTACTTGCATTTATCCTTTGTCTCCTCCCACATATCCTTTACATTCTTCTCCTCAGCGTTGGGATCCCATATGTACACGGAAAGGATGCAGGGCTGTCTCACTGCTGCCTATGCCAATCTGTACACTGCGTCAACTTTTAGCATGCTTGTCCAACATACACAGGCGAACGAGCAGAAATCAGAGCCATTATCTTCAGTTCTTGCCACAAACTATATTGCTTCGCCACTGACTCTGTTCCCTTTTCCTGGCAACTGTTGCAGGATGAATCAGACTGTTTGCAACCTTGGCATCATACTTGACCCAAAAATAAGCTTCTGATCATGGATCTGCGCCATTTCTAAGAGTGCTTATATAATCATCTCCTATCCTCAGTTTACTTGCTGAGGAATCCCATTGGTAAAAACTTGACTAACATTCTAATATGTATCTGACAAGCCCCACATTCTCCACCCTCTGCAAAATATATGCTCATGCTTATGTATAATTAGGGGACAGATACTGTTCTCTGTGCCTAGGATCAAAGACTGTGTAGCCTGCCTGGTGCCTAGGTTCAAGATATCTCATCTGGGCTGCAGAAGAACTTGGAGTGGGAGAGGAAAGATCCAGTAGTCACACAGTCCATGTCGATACCAACAACAGAGGTAGAGTGAGGAAATACTTTCTGCTGAGGGAATGACAGTATTTGGGGGCTAAATTAAAAATCATAACCAAAAAGGTAATGATCTCCAGATGACTGCCTGAGTCATGAGCTAATTTGGACAGGGACATCAGGATTGAAGCGATAAATGCGTGGCTCAAAGATTGGTTTGCAACAAACAAGTTTGAATTCATGGGGCACTGGCACCAGTGCTGGGGAGGGAGGAAGCTGTTCTCATGAGACAGGCACTTCTTGAAGCATGCTGAGATCAGAGTCTTGGTGAATCACATAACTAGGGCTACAGTTAGGGCTTTAAACTAAATAGTTGAAGGGGCAGGTTCAGCTGTATGGAAAATTATAAAATCAAAGGTAAAGGAGAAAGTAAGATTGCAGGTGAGTGATGAGGCCGATCGCTACCGGAAAATTAAGAAGGGACAGAATGTGCAAATATCATATTGCGCCAAGGAACCATAAAAGTGTAAGGAAAGTCAGTAATAGAACAAACTTAACGGCTTTGTATCTTCATGCACAAAGCATTTGGAATAAGGTAGAATAACTGACAGCACAAATCGAGGTAAACGATTATGATCTCATAGCCATTAAGTAAATGTAGTTACAAGGAGATCAAAACTGGGAACTTAACATTCAGGGATACTTGACCTTTCAGAGAGACGGGGCGATGGAAAAAGTGGTGGCATAGTACCGTTAACAAGATATAAAAGCTATGAGAGGTGATCCAGGCTCAGATGATGTAGAGTCCATTTGAGTGGAGGTAAAACAAAACAGCAAGGGAAAGAAGACATTGGTAGGAATAGTGTACAGACCCCCAAAGAATAGCCACTTGTGGGACAGGCTATAAATCAACAATAGGAGTACCTAAAGGAATAGAAAAATAATTATGGGTGACATTCATCTTCACGTTGACTGAGTTAATCAAACAGGAAAGGGTTGCTACAACAACAAATTCATAGTGTATTAGGGATGATTTCCTGGAGCAATGTGTCATGGACCACCAGGCAGCAGGCTATCATGCATCAGGTAACGGGTAGAGGCAGGTTTAACAAATTCCCGAGAAGATAATGATCATAACAGGATGAATTTAATATTAAGATCGACAGTGAGAAACTTTGGTCAGAAATAACTGTGTTTAACTTAAATAAAGAGAATTACAATGAAATAAGGATAGAGTTAGCCGAAGTAAACTGAGTGAATAAGTTAGCAGAAGTAAAAGTAAGCAAGCAGTAGCAGACATTTAAGGAGGTAATTCATACATCACAGTAAGAAAAAATAATTCTAAGAGTGGGCTAAACCAACCATAGCTACCCAAGGAAGCGAAAAACAGTATTAAGTTGAAAGAATGCCAAAGTCAGTGATAACCCCGAACATTGGGATAAATTCAGAATCCAGTAAAGGAGATCTTTAAAGGTAACTAAAAAGAGAAAAATAAATTACATAGGCAAACTAGCAAAGAATATAAAAAATGACAGTAAGAGCTTCTTTAGATATATAAAAAGGAAGAAAGACATCAAAGTGAATATAGGCCCCTTAGAAAATGAATCTGGGGAAATAGTTTGGGGAACAAAGAAACGTCAGGGGAGTTAAACAGGTATTCTGCGTCAGTCTTTATTGTGGAAGATACGTTGAACGTTCCATTGATATTAAAGAATACGGGGGAGGGATTTTGTACCATCACAATCACTAAAGAAACCGTATGAGTCAAACTAACAAGGATGAAGGCAGGCAAGTTCCCTGGCCCTGATGGCTTCCATCCTAGGATCCTAAAAGGCAGCCAGGGAGATAGTGGATGCATTGCTGGTAATTTTCCAAAAATCACTAGATTCTGGAAAAGTACCAGAGGACTGAAAAGTTACTAATACAACACCACAGTCCAAAAAGGGAGAGAGCCAAAAAGTGGGTAACTATAAGCCAATTGGACTAGCATCTATTTTTCGAAAAGCATTAGCTTCAATTATTAAGGAAGTAATAGCAGAACATTTGGAAAACCATAATCTCATCAAGCAGCATCAGCATGGCTTCATGAAGGGGAAACTGTGACTGATTTATTGGAGTTTTTTTGAAGAACTGTCAGCTAGAGTGGATAGACAGGAACCAATAGATGTGTTGCATTTGGACTTCCAGAAGGTGTTTGACAAGGTACCTCACAAAAAGGTTAACTCGTAAGAGCCCACAGTGCTGGAGGCGGTATAATGGCATGGGTAAAGAATTGGTTCATGGGCAGAAAACAGCAAATGGGGATAAGGAATTCTTGTTGTCACCAATGGGGTTCTACAGGGATCTGTTCTAGTTACAATATATACTAATGACTTGGAGGAAGGAAGAGAATGCACCGAAGCCAAATTTGCAGATGACACTAAATTAGATGGAAAGGCAGGTTGTGGGAGAAATAGAACAGTTTACAGAGAGATATTGATAGGTTAAGTGAGTGGGCAAAAAGTTGGCAAATGGAATATCATGTGGGAAAATATGAAGTTGTTCATTTTGAAAGGGAGAACAAAAGAACAGAATATTATTTCAATAATAATTGAAATTTTTTCAACAGCTGCAGAAAGCTGCTAAACAAAAGGACTTTTGAGTACTTGTGCATGACACAGATTGGTAGCACCTAGGTACAGCAGGTAATCAGGAAGGCTAATCGAATATTGGCTCTTATTTCAAGGGAATTGGAGTATAAGAGTAGGGAAAAGCCTTACTGCAAATGTACAAGGTGCTGGTCAGACCACATCTGGAATACTAAGAGTAGATTTGATCCACCTATTTAAGGAAAGATATCATTTCTTTGGAGGTAGGGAAGTGGAATGATCCCTGATATGGAGGGATTGTCTTATGAGCAATTAAACAGGTTGGGACTCTACTCACTAGAGATTAGAAGAATGAGAGGTGATCTCATTGAAACAGGTAGGATTGTTAAGGGTCTTGACAGGGTAAATGCTGAGAGGATATTTCCCCGAGTCTAGGACCAGAGGGCATCATCTCAGAATAAAGGAGCGCCAATTTAAGACTGAGATGAAGAGGAATTTCTTGTCTCAAAGCACTGAATGCCTTTGGAACAGCTGACCACTGGGAGTAGGTTGCATACATTTAAGGCTGAGATAGATAGAACCTTGATCAGTAAAGGAAATCGAGGGAAAAGGCAGGAAAGTCGACATTAGAAATTTTGGAACAATCATGATCCTACTGAATGGTGAAGTGGGCTTCAGGGGCCAAATGCCCTGCTCCTGTTCCTATCTCTTATAGCCTTATATAAAACCCTGTTGTCTCTGTCCTAGTCCACACCAAGTGTCCTTCACCCATCACCTTCTGTGCTTAGTGAGTGGCAATGACTCTGGGTTGAACCATGTCTTGATTTCAAAATTTTCATCATTGTTTTCAAATTCCTTCATACCTCACCCCGAAACCTTTATTCCTCCAGCTCCACAACTTTCTGCATTATATGCCCTCTTCCAAATTGTTAGCTCTTGTTAATCTCAATTTTATCTGTTCTACCTGTGGTGGCCATATTTTAATTTCTGAAGGCCTTAGTTCTGAAATTGCCTCCATAACCTGCTTCCCTTCTTTTTTTAAAACCTTTAAAACGCTTCTTAAAACACACATCCTTGATCAATCATCTGCTTTAATATCTTTTCTTTTGAATTGATGTTAGATTTTTTGGGTTAGAACTCTTGTGAAGCTTTGGGATACTACTACATTAAAGGCACAAACAAAAATAAGATGTTGCTGTTGTAATTAAGCAATTTCATATCCAAATGCCTGACCTCAATAGCATACATTTATGCCAGAAATTATTCCTGGAATATCAAATTAGTTCTCAAAGTAAGTTGCAAATGCAGTGAGAGGTGGCCCACATATCTAACATGGCAACATTCAGTACCTACTTTCTAGGTAATTTTTACGCTTTTGGTTTGAATACATTGTAGCAATAAAGTAAAAATTATTTGTGGGAATGCAGTGGTTTTGGTTACATTATTGAAGTTGTGCTCTATTATTCAACAAGGTTGTTCAACTCCAACAGAACCCTTGTAAAACTGAAATGAAATCAAATATTTTCATAGCTAAATTCACCCCTTTACCTAATTTTCAGTTGCTATCATATGTTTCAACAAGGCAATGTCTTTATTATAAGGAAATAAAACAGGCAGGTATTACATTTATGGCAGCACATCTGTGTTTCTAACAAGCAATGACGCTTGGCAAACAGAATAAGTGTGCCTCGTTTTGACACAAAAATACGATGCAGAAGTGCCGTTGTTGGTCTGGGGTAGACAAAGTTAGAAGTCACACGACACCAGGTTATAGCCCAACAGGCTTATTTTAAATCACAGGCTTTCGGAACAGTGGTCAGGTGAAGTCACTTCACCTGACGAAGGAGCAATGCTCCAAAAGCTTGTGATTTCAAATAAACCTGTTGGACACAAAAGTAAGCAACTAAATCAGATTACAAGTCAATCGTAAATTATACTGCCATTTTCTGTGCTGTTAAAAATTCATTACTCATCAATTCATTTCAGTGCAGACTTAACAGTCTGAATCTCAAAAATGTGTGAAGAGAAAGCATTAGGAATTCAAGGCTTGTCCCAATGAGTAAGAGAATCAGAAGGTAAATATCTATGATCTTAATTTTGAGTTTAAATAGAACTCACTCTGCCACCATGATTGTTCACATGATTTCCACTTAAAAGACTCTTCCCAATTTGTAGCTTTATGCAACAACTTCTTATTAATTTTGGCTGGAGTCAATGGCCATTTGGTTCAATTCCTCTAAAGAACTGAAGATTCCTTACCAGCTGAACTTCACCGAATGCACCTCGTCCTATCACTTTCACAACCTCATAGTCCTCTGCTTTCATTTGCATTTCTCGAACTTTGCCCATTACTTTGTCATCTGGAGCGAAAACAAATGCATTTAAACTGTTTTTAGCTGCAAGCGACCTTACAAAATCTTGGTACACGTTGATTCAAGAAAATATTCATTATTTGGGCACTATGCGGGCTCAATCAGGTAACAGTTTGAATAATCTGTAGTAGAGTGGCATATGAAGATATTCAGAGATGGCTCTTAAAATGCTATTTCCATTGGTCTAGTGCCAAACCTGTTCAACTTCCCCACAAGGCATCAGTAATATTTATACACACAACCTTGGTTTCACTGTGGACCATGAGTTTGGCAATTCTTTCCTGGTTTATCACCCGTTCTGTGGCATTTTTCATCCAAGCACCAACACTGCCTCTAAATTTTCTTTGTATTAGATAAACTGCAAATTCATCTAAGCAGTATTTCTTTCTCTATGATCAACTTACATTGTACAAGTCACTGAACTTTCACAAGTTGTGAACAGCCTGCATGTAGTTCAATAATGGCTCATCCCCAATTACATGTTAGCAACAGCACTGCTTTGTTCCCATGTGTCCTATTCTATCTTGAAGGCTCAATTCCACTCTACCTCTCACGTGTCACATTCTCCTTCTGATCTAAAAATCCATGTCAGCCTTCCTCACATCTGCCGTGCTCTCCCTCATTTTACACATCCCACATCTTTCTCCTAACACAAGAATTTGTATTTGTAGGATAGCAATTGCAATTTGAAAGAAATGGAGAGAATGCAGAGTTTGAAATCCAGCTTTAGATCACATTCCGCCTTAAAGATCCATTCACTTCAGAGAACAATGAATTAAAACTCTCAATCTAGTCACTGCTTACCACCCATGCTTGTTATTGACTGACTTGTTTTATTTTAAAATGTGGTAAATTTCAGACTGTTGTGTGGACGAGCAACCTAGAAGGAACTCTGCCCAAAATTAAGGAGCCGATGTTCTAGTTAGTTAAGGATCTGAGACAACGTTACACAGCACAAATATTGCAAACAGAGTGCTATTCTTGTACAATACCTGTCTCTTACTCCCATAAATAATTCTTTACTCTATGGTCTCACAATGCTCCTTAAAGCCACCACCCTCTGAATCTATACCACTGTCCATCACTTACTTCTAAATACAACCTATTCAACACTTCCATCAATTATATGGTTCACGAAGAAATACACACACGCTCCTTCTTATATTTCCAGGCTTTATATATTCCAGCTTTAGCTATGCATTTCAAAAACACAATTACACATTTTTAAGTTTTGCATCAAAATTTCTAAAGTAAACAGCATTTATGATAACTCCAGTGACTAAAGATAAAGTTTAGTCACTAAGACATAGAAAAATTTTAAACTTACATCTATTTAAGAAATTTTCAATGTTTTTATTCTTTCTTAGAGCGGGGAAGTCCAAATCCTGGACCAGGGCATTGAGGCCATCCTGAAAAATAAAGCTTGTGTTACTCGTGCAATATATACAATTGTAACATTGAAAGGGATATATCCATTTAAAAAGAAAGGAAACCTCAAAACAGTGAATTTTAACAGCTGAACCGCAAAGGTAAATTCACCCATTTAAAGGTAAGGACCAAAAATCCAGAATGTTGTTCATCAAATATGTTGGCTAAGTCTCAAATCTACACATACTTTGAGGACTTCATGTGAAGCATAGCATCAATGAGAATAGTCAAAGCATAGTCAGAAATATCAATCCTCAGGTTTAGTCGATCCATTCTGAAGAAATTAGAAGCTTCTTGTTCATTTTACTCAAGTTCCTGCACATCATACCCTAACACCACTTCATTTCAAAGGCCATAAGTAACAGATGTTTTTATTCATTTGTGGGATGAGGGTGTCACTGTCTAGGCGAGCAGTTTTTGCTGATCCCTAGTTGCCCTGGAGGTGGTGACGAGCTGCCTTTATTAACTGTTACAGTCCCTTGGCGATAGGGTCAACAACAGTGTTGTTAGGAAGGGAATTCTGGGATTTTTAACCGAGAGACAGATGGGACAGAGGAACTTTGTGAATTATTGGTGGTACAGGACATATGGGGGTCACTGATGGTGATGTACAGAACATTGTCTGTAAGCATGAGTCCTTCAGTATGACTTGTCAAGCTGTTGCTCAATCTACAAGACAGCTCTCTCAATATTGATAGAAGCCCCAAGATGTTACTGTAGAGGACTTTACAGGGTTAACAGGACAGTGTTTACCAGTATTGTTCTCTGGTGCTTTAAATAAATATGATGCAACATGCTGGTAAATGCCTTCCAATAAATTTGTGCTGATTCTTCTTTGTTGATCTACACTTGATCAAGTGACCAGCAATTTTGTCCAAGATTATCATTTCTGAAGTTTCAGAACCAGAGTGATTAAACAGATCAACCCATCAGGCTGGGTTTATCTTTACACCCTATTCCAAACAAGGATGACATTTAAAATTCTCCAGTTCTGTTACCATACCTATATCTGAGGAGTTCTGAAAGACTACCTTTGTTGGAATGGTGGCATCTTGGGACACTCCTGCACTACAGGGTGACTAGATTCCTATGGAACTTTTCCCTTGCTCTGTTGAATGCTAAGTTAGAAGAAACTCAGCAAAGAAAGAAGAAAATACATTGGTTTTATTGCTTGATTTTGGTCAAGTTATGTTCAGGCAACTGATAATCAACTGTGTCAGTATAAAGTTATATTTACCTCAATGTAAGAATACCGTTTTATATTGAATTTTTGGTGCTTGCTGTAATAAATTAATCTATTTGGATCTTTGGTAAGTTTGGATTGTTAATGAAAGCAAGCTTCATAGCCAGCGATAAGCACTTGCATTCGCCATCCCAAAGAGATCCATAAATTCTTTAAATTTTACATTACTATATAACATCGTAGTTCATCCTGTTACCTGTGGTAATACATACAAGGAAACAAATCATTTTTCTCAATTACCAGAGATTCTTACATCATAACTAAGCAGCGGGCATTATGTAGAGAAACAAACTTATAAAAACTATTTTGATTGCAGTGGGACCAGCTACATTTAAATGCAGCTTACAGAACACTATTGATAACTGAGCAACTCATAAATACACAATAACACATAATTAGTAGTGTCACAATTAAGTTACAGATATATTCATTAATGAATAAACAACATAGATGAAAATGTTGGGGTGGGGGAGTAAAAGGTTTGTGGATGGCTTGAAGATTGGCGAGGTGGTTAATAGTGAAGAACAAAATGCTAGTTCACAGGAACATACAAACGGGTTGGTCAGATGGGCAGGTCAGTGACAAATGGAATTTAACCTTGAAAAATGTGATGTGATGCACTTTGGAAGAAGTAACAAGATAAGAGGGTACTCATTGAATGGCAGGACACTAGGAAGCTCAGAGGAAAGAAGGGCATTGAGGTGCCTGTCCACAGATTCCTGAAGGCAGCTCCTTCATTAACCTGGGATTGGTTAATCAGGTGATTAAGGCGGCATACGGTATACTTGCTTTTATTTGTATAGCATACATTATAAGAGCAAGGAGGTTGTGTAACAGGTGTACAAAATTGTGGATAGGCCACAGCTGGAGTACTGCGTGCAGTACTGGTCACCACACTTCAGGAAGGATATTACAACACTGGAAGAGGTGCAGGAGAGATTCACCAAGATGTTGCCTGGGTTGGACCATTTTAGCTACAAAGAGAGGCTGGATAGGCTCAGGATGATTTCTTTAGAGCAGAGAATGCGGACAGTGGACCTAATTGAGATGTATAGGATGGACAGGGTGGATAGGAAGCAGCTGCTCCCCTAAGTTGAAGGGTCAACAATGAGGGGCCAGAATTTTACAATTGGAGGATGGAGGATATTTGAGGCATAAAGGCGTTTCGCACAGAGGATGATGGGAGTCTGGAATCCACTGTCTGGGAGAGCAGTAGGGGCGGAAACCTCATAACCTTTAAAAAGGTACATAGATGAACACTTGCAATATCATAACATTCAAGGCTATTGCCTATGTGTTGGAAAGTGGGATTAGTGTAGCTAGGTCAGCGCAGACTTGATAAGTAAACAGCATCTTCTGTGCTGTATAGCACTATAAAAACATTCCAACTACAAAAAGGAACTTTAAATAAAAACTTTTACTGGTAACATTCTCTGGCCATGAAGTACATTACAATGTCCTTTGACAATAATGTATTTACCATGAAACCTATAACTACTTTTGCTTTATTTTGTTACACATCATCTCTAAGAGAACGCTCACACAATAACGGTAACATAGGTTACAGCAAAGAAAAAGTGCCATTCAAAACATAAAATGTATGAATAAAGCTAGTAAGATGTCTGTAAAAGACAACTAACTGAAAACAACTGACAGCTTTTTTAAGTGCATCAAATACTTACACAAATCAAAACTTAGCAAGTAAGTTGCAAGTGAAAGCTTTAACGTAAAAAGCAAATAAGATGTCATCACAAAAATACACACTACATAGGGCTTTGAGTGGAGAGACCTCAACTGAAGTTACATCATCTGGTCCAAACATGTACATGTGTAGAGAACAGTATAGATCAGATTGTAAGTTAGTACGCAAAAGAGAACATCACGTCGTTCTAAGTTATACAGTCATCAAGTCACAAAGCGCAGAAACAGACCCTTCGGTCCAACTTGTCCATGCCAACCAGTTATCCTAAATAAATCGAGTCCCATTTGCCAAAATTTGGTCCATATCCCTCTAAACTTGTCCTATTCATGTACCATCCAGATACCTTTTAAATGTTTAATCGTACCAGCCTCCACCACCTCCTCTGACAGCACATTCCATACACGCACCACCCTCTGCATGAAAAAGTTGCCCCTTAGGTCCCTTTTCATCTTTTCTCCTCTCAACTTAAACTTATTCACCCTAATTTTGGACCTCCCCCAATCTGGGGAAAAGACCTCAGCTACTTACCATGCCCTTCATGATTTTATAAACCTCTATACGGTCAACCCTCAGCCTCTGACACTTCAGGCAAAATAGCCCCAGCCTATTCAGCCTGCCCTGTAGCTCAAACCCTCCAACCCTGGCAACATCCTTGCAATTAGTTTCTAACCTCTTTCAAGTTTCACAGCATCTTTCCTATAGCAGGAGGACCAGAATTGAATGCAGTATTCCAAAAGAGGCCGAACCAATGTCCTGTACAGCCACAACATGAACCCCCAAATCCGATACTCAATGCAATGCTCAATAAAAGCAAGCATACCAAATGCCACCTTCACTACCCTGTCTACCTGTGACTCCACTTTCAAGGAACAATGAATCTGCACCCCAAGGTCTCTTTGTTTGGCAACGCTCACCAGGACGTTGCCATTATGTGTGTAAGTCCTGCCCTGATTGGCCTTACCAAAATGGTTCACCTCACATTTATCTAGATTAAACTCCATCTGCTCCTCCTCGGCCATCTGCCCATCCAATCAAGGTCCTGTTGTACTGTGAGGCAACCTTCTTCACTGTCCACTACACCACCGATTTTAGTGTCATTTGCAACTTTACTAACCATACCTCCTGTACTCACATCCAAATCATTTCTGTAAATGACAAAAAGTAGTGGACCCAGCACCAATGTTTGTGACACACTAGTGTTCACAGGCTTCTAGTCTGAAAAGCAACCCTTCAATGCCACACTCTGCTCTTATCTTTAAGCCAATTTTGTATCCAAGTGGCTAGCTCTCCCTGGATTCCACATGGTCTTACCTTGCTGACCAACCAAACAGAACCTTGTCAAACGTCTTGCTGAAGTCCAGATAGATAATACCCACCATTCTGCCTTCATCAAAGTTGTACAATATCAGAAAAGTTGTCAGAAACCCTAAGTCAGATTCTTGCAATGAAACTACCCCTTGCACCATGATTTTTAAAACGAACAAGTGAAGTTACTCAAACACTCAGATGTTTACCATGCAGACCATTTGGCCCTTCTGTTTGTGCTGGTTAACAAAGATTTGATGACACGAATCCTACTTTTCAGCTTTTGGCCCATTGTCCTGGAGGTCTTGGCAATGCAAGTGAATATCTAAATACTGCTTAAATGTTGCGAGCTTCCAATTCAACCACCCTTTCAGATTGTCAGTTCCAGAGTGCCACCACCCTTTGGGTGAAAACATTTCTCTTCAACCCTGCTCTTAGCCTTAAATTTATACTGTCTGATTACTGACCCCTGTATTTATGGAAAAAAATGTCTTCCTATCCATTCTATCTACGTCCCTCATGGTCGCATACACCACTAATAGGTTCCCTCACAACCTGAGATGCTCAAAGGAAAACAACCCTAGCCTATTCAATCCCTCCTCATAGCTCACACCCTCCAGCACACATCATATCATGGTAAATCTGCACCCTCTCTAGTGCAATCACATCCTTATCGTGGGTTGACCAGAACTGTACGCAGTACTCTAACTGTGGCCTCACCAGTATTTCAT